CCCCATGCAACCACAACAACCCCAACCTTTTCTCCAATTTCCATACCAAACTCCACAAAACACACCAAAATTCCCCTTCTATCCACCAGAGTTACCCCAACAAACATTTGTTCCTTGGATGTAACAAAGGTCATTGATAGCAACATCACCTCCTCTGCATGCACAAAACTCTCCCTACCACCCACTCACTCCACCAACCAGCTCCCTTCACACCCACCATCACACTCCATCAGAACTCGAAGCAGAAGCACAACTAGAAGTGATTACAACAATGGAGGAGATACGAGAAACAAGACCAATCTTCTGCTTTCGAAATGGGAACAGAACTTACACGCTCAAAGAGCAGTATGCAAGAAAGTGATTATCATCTTTCCTAAGGAGCTGCAAAGTTGCTCCCTCAATATACGAACCACTCAAAATCCAATGATGGGCAAATATGCAATAGTCATGATTCCGGCGATGACACCAACATAGGAGCAGACCCTCTCCCCTCCCTCACCCAATAACTCATCCATGCAAATTATCATTTGAAATTGCAGAGGAGCCCAGTCACCGTACAATCCACCATTGGTAGCACTATTGGAGACTCACCTACAGGAACATACAACCCTCAAAGACGAATTTGGCTTCACGCATTTGGCACAGGCACCGGCAATGGGTACCAGTGGGGGTATTGCTTTACTATGGAAGGGGGAGATCATCCAACTAGATCAAGTTGCAGTCACACAACAAGAAATCCACTCAATTGTCCAGGTACGACCACACACTTTTTCTTGGTTTTTTTCAATTATCTATGCCAAAAATGACATGCATTCTAGACATGTTTTATGGAAAAATCTAAGACAGCTACATGTTACTATTAAGCTCCCTTGGCTAATGGGCGGGGATTTTAACAAAATGACAAGAGCATCAGAGAAATACGGAGGCCTCGCCCTAAATAATAATAGGTGTGACAAATTTATTCGTTGCCTAAATTATTGCAACTTGATCGACCTAGGGTACACTGGCAGTTGGTATACTTGGACCAACAAACGACACATCACAAATCAAATTTTGGAACGAATAGATCGAATTGTATCAAATTATGATTGGATTAACCTATTTCCACAAACCCTAATGCAACATTTACCTAGAACACACTCGGACCATTGTCCATTACTAATTCAACTAAACAAAAAATATGCCACTACACAAAAAATATTTAGGTTTGAAACTATTTGGCAAAGTTACCCGCAATTCCTTTCAATTATAAAAATAAAATTGGCTTAATAATAAACCCATTCTTCCTTCTATCGAAGACTTTACAAAAGATGTTACAAGTTGGAATAAATCCACCTTTGGTAATATTTTTAGGAAAAAAAAGAAAGCTCCTAACTAGGATAAAAGGAATACAATCCTCACATGCCTATCCTACAAGTTCCTTTTTACAATACCTAGAATGTGATTTGATAGCCCAATTTAATGAAACTTTAAAATTGAAAGAAGAATTCTAGAAATTAAAATCACGTATCAATTGGCTCCAACAAGGCGACGCCAATACAAAATTTTTTCACCTAACAACTATCAAGCGTCATAGACGAAATCGTATTACGGCCCTAAAAGATTCAGTGGGAAACTAGATATACGACCAAAAAAATCTCATTTTCCAAATTGAACATTACTACCAAAACATGTTTACTACTTCTCATATACTCCATCAAAAATAATCCTCAATTGCAGGTCACCACCCCTTAACACCTGAACAAATTTCCAACCTTTCTTTACCTCCGACCACCACAGAAATTCTTCGAGCTGTTAAATCTTTTCAACCACTAAAGGCACCGGGGCCGGATGGTTTACATCCACTCTTCTACCAAATTTATTGGCTACACATTGCACCTTCTCTCATATCTTTCTGCAAGGAAGCCTTTGAAAAATAACAAATTCCGCCAGAAGTAAATAAAACGTACCTATGTCTCATCCCAAAAATACTCCACCCTACTTTGATCACTCAATATCGCCCTATAAGCCTTTGTAATACCCCCTAAAAATAATCACAAAAATTATTGTCCATCGTATTAAGCCAATTCTTCAAACAATCATAAGCCCTGAACAATCTGCCTTCTTACAAAATCGTAGAGCTTCCGTTAATGTTATTATTGTCCAAGAAATTATCCACCATTTTAAAAAGAAAAAAGGGAAGCAAGGAAAATTCCTATTAAAATTAGACCTCGAAAAAGCCTTTGATAAACTAGAATGGGGTTTCATCAGAGACACCCTCATCTACTTTAATTTTCCAGCAACTTTGATTAATTTAATTATGTCATACATTGCTTTATCCACAATCTCAATACTTATCAATGGCGCCCCTACCCCTTTTTTCAGTCCGACTAGAGGAATCCGCCAAGGGGATCCCCTATCACCTTATTTATTCATTTTATTCCTAAAAATGTTGACTAGGAAAATACATTCAGAAGTTGATTATGGGCTATGGCATCCCATAAAACTCTCTACACACGGACCACAGCTACCACACCGATTCTTTGCTGATAATATCACTCTCATCTCTAAATTGATCACAAAGAGTGTTCACTCTCTTATTGATACACTCACACTCTTTACCAATGTCACGGGCCAGACCATTAATTACACCAAATCAAAAGTCTTCTTCTCACACAATGTCACCACTGATGCAAAAAACTTTGTCCTATCATCCTTCAACATGAAGGAAGGCATGCAATTTGGAAAGTACTTAGGGTTTTCCATATTTAGTCAACGACCCCGGAAAACCGATTTTCAATTCCTCCTGGATAACTTGAAACTTAGATTGGCAGGATGAAAAACTAATATGCTATCCATGGCTGGTTGTACCACTCTCATCAAAGCCACCCTTAACTGCCTATCAAATCACCTGATGCAATTAATTTAAATTCCTAGTTATATAACTTGGCAACTAGAAATGTACCAACGAGACTTCCTCTGGGGTAATACTCAACAAAAAAAAGTTCCATCTAATCAAATGGAAATCTATACAACTAGATAAGAAAGATGGTTGGCTGGAAAAATCCAGTTTAATTCATAAAAATCATGCACTACTTGGTGCCCAAGCGTGGCGGCTATTTAACTCACCTCACTCACACCGGGCATCAATACTCCTAGCTAAATACTTACCTCGTAGAAATTCTAGCAACACAATCCATACTTGGAAGGCCATCCAACAAGGATGGTCTTACTGCTAAGAAGGCCTTACATGGAACATCTCTAATGGTACTCATATCCAGTTTTGGACGGAACCATGGATGGGGACAAAAAAGATTATCCGACAACTCATAGAAGGCCCATCACCACAACAACACCAAACTTCCACAATTGCTAACTATACAACCCACAATTCAATAAACTTGGATCTCATTCCCTTTGAGCTCCCACCACAATTACTGAATTCATTAAAAAATATATGCATACCTACCATCACAAATCCTTTCTCTTTCGATAAAATAATCTGGGATTTAAGCCCAACGAGGATGTTCACGGTAAAATCCTTATATCACAAATTACACAATTCACACTCCAACTCTTCCTTCAAATGGATTTGGGTATTACCAACACCGCCCAAAATAAAACATTTCATATGGCTTGTCAGCCACTATCGAATACCTACTGCGAGCTACCTTCATCGTATCAATATCACCAATACACCAATGTGCGGCATTTGCAATAGATATCGAACATCTCTTACTATACTGCCCAAATGCACAAATAGTTTGGCACAATCTAGGCCTTCATACACACGTGCAGCTGCTACACAATTTTGAGGAAGGACCTCTACAACGACTTTTTCAAATTATCACCACTCAACTGCCACTCCCCCATAATCTCCCATCACAAACTTTAATCCATTACGCACTTTGGCATATATGAAAAAGTCGCAAATCGAAGTATCTTTGACAAAAGTAAAAGTTACCCTAATACCAACCATATAATAGAAGAAGCAACTGAATACGCTTATCTAGTTAACAATAGTACACGTACTCATCAAACTCCTTCCTCACTCTCCATCAAATGGAATCCTCCAGCGCAAGGATTCTATAAACTCAACGGCGATGGTGCCTACACACCTTCTACAACAAAGCATGGATTTGGAGGCGTCTTCAGAAACTGCGATGGACACTGGGTAAGGAGATATGCAGCTCGACGCCATGAAGGCACCCCTACATCAATGGAACTTCGTTCCTTACTGGAAGGACTGCGTATAACTTTACAACATTGCCCGATGCCACTGGAAATACATGTGGACTCCACCGAGTAATTAATATGCTGCATAACCATAATCTTCATTACTCATCTATTCTTCATGAATGCAGGTCTCTTCTCCAACAGCTGGGTAATCCACGTGTTTCGCACACATACAGGGAGCTTAATGAAGTGGCAAACAAACTCGCAAAGCATGGAACTACTTTAGCTATGGAGAATACTACCATGATGTTTTTGAATAATCCAATCTTTTTGAAGGCAGACCTGATGAATGACCATATGGGCACTCGGCAATTGCGGCGCTCTTCAACTCAGATGGACGATACTACAACTTTTTTTGAATTAAATTTACCATCAACTACTTGTACTAGTTCAACACAATAATGTCCGCCAGTTTTAGCACCTTTTTGTATTGTGGAGCCATCAAGGCCCACCACTCCCTGTAATATGACTTAATTTATTAATATACTTATCCTTTTGACCAAAAAAAAAACGAGCTGCTACTCTTCCAAGAGCTTAATCTGAAATTCCATTTTTTTTTTTAAATAATCATTTTAATCCTAACATAAAAATATAGATTTCGGAAGATAAGCCAAACAGAAAATCTAGTTGGCCAAAGGGGGGATTCCCGAAGATGTGGGTAAATAAAACCACGGTTTTTCCTCGTTTATCACAAATTTTTAAGACTCTAAACTCCCTTATATCGCACAAGTTATATAAGCGTCCTTAAATATCTCTTCTACAACAAATTAAAGCATAAGAAAACATATACGCTGCAAACGTCCTTTTACAATAAGGAAAAAGAGGAGAAAACCTCCTAGAGAAAGATTAAGGAGGTGATTAAATTAAAAACCTGCGATTAGCTTCTTCTTAATTATTTGTTTCCTCATTATTGAAACGCTAATTAGAAGAATGGAATGGTCCCCAAAATATGCTGCAAATGCATATCTTGACACCCTCAAGTTGGTAAGTCTTCCTTATATATATATCTTGCTTTTTTCCTCCTTGTGTTTCCCTTTTTCCGTTTCCATATTTGAGCACCATGTTGCGCATTATAAATAAATAAATTGCATCATGATCACCTCCATTATAATTAATTTCCCCTAGATGATCGTTTTTTTGTTGTTGGCTTGTTATGCTGTCGTGGTATATAAATATCCAGATAGTTGAGGGTTCGAGCTTGACATATTACTCATGATATAAAGAGAGATTTTTATCTTTACTGTGTTCTTGATTATGATGCAAACAAATAGAAGCATATATGTCTTAAGAGAGAGAGATTTTCTCATAAGCAAAAGAACAGACCTTCGTCATAAAAAGAAAATTTATTCCGAGTAAACACCTAATTAGATAAAGCATTGACAATATAATATCCAATACCTTTTACAATATTTGCAATATGATCCTAAAGGAAACATTTTCGAATTCAATTCTGTTAACCACCATGCAATTTTGTAATTTCTTAAAATATCCTTGGAGATCGTAGTTGTTGACCACCATGCAATTCTGTTACCATGTTCCCTATCTATAATGAGATAATATAAATGAGGTGCTTTCTTTTATATGTGAATACCAAACAAAAGGTAAACATAGAGTGAGTTTTAAGGTGTAAAATTTTAATATTCGATAAGATATTCATATTTTTTATATATGTGTATTATATACAAAAAAATATACATATTATATATATTTACATCTAGCGAATGCAATTAGTTTTAGCCGACCGACCAATTTGTGTCTTGCCCTAAAATTTTACTAATCATATCATTTATTTGAAATAGTACTACACATTGAGAAACAAGACACAACCTGTTATAACAAGTTAAACAACATTGATAGTAATAAAAATTATTCCTAATATTTTTTACAGTGTATGTATAAGCTGAATCCATATAGAGCTAACTGTCTATTCCTTTACTATATGCATTCTTCTGCAGTGTAGCAAACACAAGCAGATGTGCAATTCATGTGGAACCCAAGAACCAGAGTGCAACGAATTCATATCAGCCTTAGCAGCTGGCATGAGCGCCAAATTAATAGTAGAAGTCACAACCGAAGGATCTCCATCAACTGTGGCCTTAGCAGCAGCAGCTCGACAAACAGGAGGCAAATTAGTATGCATTATTCCAGAGCCAAAACTAGACAAAACACAAAAAGTAATTCAAGAAACAGGGCTAAATGACATGGTAGAATTCAAAACAGGAGACCCTGTTGAGGTCTTGCATAATTACGAGAACATCGATTTCTCGTTAGTCGATCGAAAGACGAATGATTATGACATGTTAATGGAAAAGCTTGACGTCAATCCTAAAAGATCAGTGGTTGTTACAAATAATGTAGAAGGGAGAAAAGGGATGATGGGAGGAAAATTGAAGAAAATGGAGAACAAAGCTAAGGTAAGGTCACTTCAGCATCCTATTGGTAAAGGATTAGAGGTTACTATGATTGGGAAAAGTACAGAATTTGGTAAGAAAGAAAGAATTAGCAAATCAGGATGTTATGCTCATCTAATAAGAGGAGAGAAAAAGAATGGTCATCATGTAGTGAATAAGAAGAGTAGTGATAAAAGTAAATGGCTTTTTGTGGTTGATGAAAAAAGTGGTGAAGAACATATATATAGGATGCCAAAATCATCTGGACCTTGATTAATTGGAGTAATTCTAGCTAATTACATGGTTCTTTGAAGCTTTTCTTGATTTCTATAAGTGAAATGAGAATATTTGTGGGCTTCTCGTTTTCGAATGAATGAAGCATGTGATCCGTTGGGAGCGTAAATTTCCAAATGAAGATGAGAAATATGAATGTAGGTGAAGTTGCTCAATTGGGTCAAGTGTTGTGGACACATTGAGAATTCTTTTTATTTTCTTTTCTATTTCCCTCCTTCCTCCTTTTGTCTGTTTTTCATTGCTGCATTTGGTGGGTGCAGAAGGAGAAGGGGGAGGTGTAGTGGGAATAATTGTTGCTTGCATTGGTTGTATTAATTAGGAGGAGGAGATATGTAGTGATTGCATTGTAATTTGTTTCTTGTTGCTTTGTTATGTACTCCAAAGACTAATTCAAGAATATAAGTTAGTGTGTGTGAAATACCACTTCGCTGATTTATTTTATTTTTAACATTTTGTAGTAACGGGTGTAGAAATAGTATGTATGTTCTTTTTCTGAAGTTTTTAAAACAATATATATATATATATATATATATATATATATATATATATATAGAGCTAAGTCATACCCTATACTTACATCCTGCTTCCTATAGTGAATTAGTGATCGGAGGACTTCATTTTTCTATCCTCAACTAGTATTCTCACCAGATTAATTTTAACTCCTCCCTTTACAATAATTATTTTGGTAGAAGTAATGAACTATTACTTGCTTTATTTACATGGTGGACTCTTAGCATTATTACTTGAGAGAATGTCAAACACCAGCCGCGTTTTGAAAAAGGCAATGAACCACTCCCACATCGATGTTGAAGAATAATATTCATGATTTATAAGAACTTATGAGATAACAATGCACGCCGAGCTCAGTAACGTGGGCTTGTAACCCAAGTGGGGGCATTAATGTGGTGGAATATTGGGCTGTCCCAGTAGGTTGGATTTGGTGGGCTCAGATCTGACCTGCCCTATCCAAGCGCAGAGCTGTGTCACGTGGCCCAAGCGAAGGCATGGGCTGCTTGACTCCTAAAGTGGGGTGGACTGTGTGAGGCTGGTTTCACAGAGCAACGAACAGCTCCCACTCTGAGCAGTGGAAGGATAACGGGCCAGTGCTTTTCAAGTCCAGCAACGCCTGATGGGCTACTCCAATTAAACTACCATTTTTTGTCCCATCTGGGCTTAAATGGGCTTGGCCCAGTGTAATTACTTTACTTCAGAGGATCCAACAAGTTTGTATACAAATTGCCGACTTAACAGCCATTTTTGTTTGCAAGTCTTTTATTATTCTTAAAACCACTTTATTTTTGATTTTGAGAAGCAGATTAATCGTCATGTGATTGCATTTCTAGCAATAATTAGTTTAGGAAGCAATTGAGGCAGTGCAAGATCTGAAAACAAAAAGAAACTAGACTAAAATCTCCGCGATATAATTTTTAAGTTATCGAGATTATATAATTACTAATGACTCTAATACATAAGATGTTTTAAAAGGATCAAAGAACCTTTAGTTTTTCGCTAGTGGAGCTTAGTTGTGCATTAGACACTATAATAAGGTCTCATTCTGTCAAAGCTAGGATCTACACAGTACTGTTCTATATTCCAACTACAGCAACAACAAAAATAATATTGTTGTTGTACTTGTTATAAAGCGACATTAGTTTTTCTCTCTTTTTTTTTCTTCTCCTATGATGAATAACAAAATTTAAGGAACGCTAAAATGGAGAAGAAAATTTGGGGAACATTTCCTTTCTTAATTCTCAAGAGAAAACATGTAAATGTTCTTAACTTTGTAATTTTTAGACAGTTCCTCGATTCATTTATACATGATTAGTTGTTTCTCCTAATTCTGTTTTTATCCACGATTTAGTTTTTTAGAGATGCCTTTTCTTTTTTCTTTCATTTTTAAAAGTTTATTTCCTTTTTTTTTTACTTAGTTGTTTGGAAAAGAGGTAATCCACACGTGAAGTGAGCATTGGATCGGTAAAAACTTACCAGCACCGAGTGTTTATGTTGGGACTTAAAATAGGGTGAATGGGAAATGGAGAGAAATGAAATTTTAAGTTTCCCCCATTGGCAAAGGGACATTGTCTCATATTGGAAGAGGAAGAAGTTTTTTATGGGTAGATAAGCAATTGTTCTTCTTCTAGCTCTTAAAGAGTTGAGAAGAAGGCAAGCCTCGCACCGTCGTCGTCGTCGTCGCTCGCTCGGCTCGGCTTCGCTAATAACAGAATTTTAATATTAAAATAAATATTAATATTAAATCCAATCTGTTTTTCAGTTGTGTAACTGAAAATTAAACTACCCTCTTCAATTTTTCCTCTTTATTTTTCCTCTTTATTGTTGAGTAAATAGCCATTTATGTTATGGCATTTATGTTGTGGCCGTTTTGCATAAACAGCCATTCTGAAGAGTTGCACCTCTTCAGATTTCAGGCCAACTTTGGCTATAAATACAAGACTATTCTACTCAGAATTTCCATACAAATTTTCTGAGTTCTTCTCCTTTCTTCTGCATATTTTAAATTCAAAGAAAGCAACAGTAAGTGTGATTTGTTACCGAACTTTGTGTTCGCTGAAACACTGGGGTTTGAAGTACCACTACACCAGTGTGTAATTCGTTCTATCCAGGGAAGAAATAATCCATAACCTATGGTACTAGGAGGGGATTAAATTCCTTAAGGAAACACTGTGAATTCAGTGGGCTCGAATTGGTTTTTGTTATTTCGTTTACATTTCTGTTTATGTTATTTTATTTTCTCCAGAATTGTTTTACAAGTACGGATTACTAACAAGCTTAAGGAACTTATTATATTTTCTGTATTTGTACTCACTGTTTCCGGAGAGTAAAACCTTTGTAGTTTTGTACTCTATTGGAGATTAAAATCTACGTGATTTTAACGTTTGTGTCATTCTTTTACAAAAATGACTAATGATAATGTGAACCAAGTTGTTCTAATGGTGACTGTCAATGCCTCAACGAGCCGAACAACACCGGCAGCATTGGCACCGGCGGAGAAACCCGAAAAAGTTTCCGGGATTGATTTCAAGCGCTGGCAGCAAAAGATGTTCTTCTATTTGACTACTCTAAGTCTTCAGAAGTTCATCAAGGAAGATGTTTCTGTGCTGTCCGATGAAACTCCAGAAACTGAATGCTTTCTCGTGATTGAGGCGTGGAAGCATTCAGATTTTTTGTGCAAGAATTATATTCTAAACGGGCTGGAGGATGCTTTGTATAACGTCTACAGTGGCGTGGAAACGTCAAAAGAACTGTGGACTGCGCTTGAAAAGAAATACAAAACCGAAGATGTCGGGTTGAAGAAGTTCGTTGCTGCAAAGTTTTTGGACTACAAAATGGTACATAGCAAGTCTGTTATTACCCAAGTCTAGGAATTGCAAGTGATTATTCACGATCTCCTTGCTGAAGGTATAAATCAAATTAATACTGGTGTTGAAAGTAGTAATCTTAGTATTTTTACTAACAGGAATTCCATTGAGGGTCTTGTCATCAATGAAGCATTCCAAGTAGCAGCGATGATTGAGAAGTTTCCTCCTTTGTGGAAGGACTTCAAAAACTACTTGAAACACAAACGCAAGGAGATGTCCCTTGAAGATCTCATTGTTAGGTTGTGAATCGAAGAGGACAACAAAGCTGCTGAAAAGAGAGGCCGTGGAAACTCAACAATAGTGGGAGAAAATATTGTTGAAGAGAACAAAAAGAGGAAGAAGGCTTCTGGACCGAAATACAACCTAAGCAAGAAGCAGTTCAGTGGAAGTTGCTACAACTGTGGAAAAGCCGGACACAAATCTACGGAGTGTCGTGCTCCGAAGAAAGACAAGAAGAAGTGTCAAGCAAACATGGTTGAAAAGCATGATGATGTTGATGACTTATGTGCCATGCTTTCCGAATGCAACTTGGTGGGCAATCCTAAAGAGTGGTGGATTGATTCTGGAGCCACTCGCCATGTTTGTGCTGTTAGAGAAGCTTTTGCTACTTATGCTTCTGTTGGACCCGATGAGACGCTTTCTATGGGAAATGCTTCATAGGCCAAGATTGAAGGATGTGGGAAGATATTTCTCAAAATGACTTCCGGCAAAGTGGTGACTTTGAACAACGTCCTTCATCTTCCCGAGATTAGGAAGAATTTGGTCTCTGGTGGACTTCTTGTTAAGAATGGTTTTAAATGTGTTTTCCGATAAGGTTGTAACAAGTAAGAACGAAATGATTGTAGGAAAAGGTTACCTCAATGAGGGTCTTTTCAAGATGAATGTAATGGTTGTTGAAAATAATAACAAAATTTTAAGTTTGGTCTTACTTACTTGAGTCAAATGAATTATGGCATATACGTTTGGGTCATGTTAATTATAAAACCTTTGCGAAAAATGATTAATTTGGAAGTATTGCCTAAATTTGAATGCGACAAATCAAAATGTCAAATATGTGTGGAATCTAAGTATGTTAAACATCCTTATAAGTCAGTTGAAAGGAATTCAGTTTCTTTAGACTTAATTCACACAGATATTTGTGATATGAAGTCAATACCATCTCGCGGTGGAAAGAAGTATTTCATAACTTTTATTGACGATAGTACTCGATATTGCTTTGTTTACTTACTTAATAGTAAAGATGAAGCAATAGACGCATACAAGCAATACAAAAATGAAGTTGAAACGCAACTTAACAAGAAAATCAAAATGATAAGAAGTGATAGGGGTGGTGAATATGAATCTCCTTTTGAACAAATATGTTTAGAATATGGAATTATTCATCAGACAACAGCCCCTTATTCGATAGTTTATGGTCTTGAAATTCATCAAATGGATGTTAAGACAGCCTTCTTAAATGGAGAGTTGGAGAAAGAAATTTACATGGAACAACCTAAAGGGTTTGTGGTTCCAGGTAAAGAAAAGAAGGTATGTAGACTTGTTAAGTCCCTTTACGGACTAAAACAAGCACCCAAACAATGGCATGCGAAATTTGACCAAACAATATTGTCAAATGGTTTTAAAATAAATGAATGTGATAAATGTGTGTACATTAAAAATTGTTCAAATCACATAGTCATTGTTTGCTTATATGTGGATGATGTGCTGATAATGAGTAATGACATTGCCAAGATAAATGTGAGTAAGTGCATGCTAACTGGCAAGTTTGATATGAAAGACTTGGGAGTTGCTGATTTAATTCTGGGAATTAAGATCCATAAGACTTCTCAAGGTCTGGCATTATCACAATCTCATTATGTTAAGACAGTACTTGAAAAATTCAAGCACTTGGGCTTTAAGGTTTCAAAGACTCCAATTGACGTGAATCTTGCATTAGCAAAGAACAAAGGCCAAAGCATATCACAATTGGATTATGATCGTGTGTTGGGTTGCTTAATGTATATCATGAATTGTACACGACCAGATATAGCTTGTGCTATAA